GAACTTGTCATTGCAGAAACCCCTATTGACACCACTGAGGATGTTTCTGCAGGTCTTGTGATCTCAGAAGTTCCCCAGGAAACCCAGGAGGAAATACCAGAGGAACTTGTACTCTCTTAGAAACCAAGGAAGAGGTTTCTGAGGAACTTGTCATTGCAGAAACCCCTATTGACACCACTGAGGATGTTTCTGCAGGTCTTGTGATCTCAGAAGCTCCTGAGGAAACCAAGGAGGAAATACCAGAGGAAATTGTACTCTCTGTCAAAACCGAAGTAATAATTACAGAAACCCCTGTTGACACCACTGAGGATGTTTCTGCGGGTCTTGTCATCTCTGAGGCTCCTGAAGAACCTAAATCTTTGGAGGAAATCTCTGCTGGACTTGATATTGTTGAGGCTCCAGAGGAAACCCAGGAGGAAAAGCCAGAAGAAGTAGTAGTTTCCATTGGAACCAAGGAAGAGGTTTCTGAGGAACTTGTCATTACAGAAACCCCTGTTGACACCACTGAGGATGTTTCTGCAGGTCTTGTGATTTCTGAGGCTCCTGAAATACCTAAATCTACTGAGGAAATCTCTGCTGGACTTGATATTGTTGAGGCTCCAGAGGAAACCAAAGAGGAAATACCAGAGAAAATAGAAGTCACTGTTGAAACCAAGGAGGAGGTTTCTGAGGAACTTGTCATTACAGAAACCCCTGTTGACACCACTGAAGATGTTTCTGCAGATCTTGCCATCTCGGAGGCTCCTGAAGAACCTAAATCTACTGAGGAAATCTCTGCTGGACTTGATATTGTTGAGGCTCCAGAGGAAACCAAAAAGGAAATACCAGAGGAAATAGAAGTCACTGTTGAAACCAAGGAGGAGGTTTCTGAGGAACTTGTCATTACAGAAACCCCTGTTGACACCACTGAGGATGTTTCTGCAGGTCTTGTGATCTTTGAGGCTCCAGGAGAAACCAAGTCTACAGAAGAGATATCAGCTGGACTAGATATTATTGAGGCTCCTGAGGAAATAAAACAGGAAGCAAAAACTCCAGAAACTGTCATTTCTGAGGAAATAGGTTTATCACAGGATGTGGTATCACAGTTTGGGTTATCTGCCCCTGAGATACAGCTAGATGGAGACACCACCATGGGAGCAAGCCAGCTTATTATGCTTGATGAGTCAGGTACAAGTGTTACCGTGGTTACTGTTGGTCTGTCGCTAAGCTCTTTATTAGAATGGCACCATTTTTTGTCACTTGCTTATGGATATAACTATTTGTCTTGTACGCGTATGGCCAGCTGCAGTTTGAGAAAAAAAAAAGTCACACCAACTTTACGTTCTTTTATTCAGGAAAGCTTTTGATTTGATGAATGATGACTCTAATTACCCATCAATATATTAAAGATAATTTTATGATAATATTTCAATGTCAGTGTTCTGCTGTCAATTTCAGTTTTTCACCATTTAAAGAAAATTAGATGGGCTTTGGAATTCTCAAATCAAATATGCTTTGGAATGACTACAGAATCCTTAAGATCCATCAAAAATGATTCACTGAAACATTTTCAAATATTAAGAAAACAAATATTACATCAAATTTATTAGGACAAAAAAAAATCCTGGCCATATTTTTCTTCAATACTTCTGCTATCATAGTCTTTAATTATTCTATTCCAACCTGTTACCCCTCCATTCACAATAGTATGGTACAGACCATGGAGTTGAGGCTATTGGAGGACTGGAGGGGTGACAGGTGGTAGCTGGTGTTTGGATCTTAGTGGTTCTAGTGGTCTGACCATGTTGTCATCACAAATCACCCGGATTGAAATTGACACAGGATGTTGATGTCAGACATGCCCCCAGAATTGATAGCTTCTCCTGATTTCAATATTTACATCCAACCATTTAACTCATTCACCCCTACATGTTTAAACCAGACTTGCCTAATCTTTGAGTTGGTAAGGTTCAAATGTGACTTTAGGGGTGAATAGGTTAAGACTGAGTATAATCTTGAGTGATAGTTCTTAGTTCTTGTGTTCATAAAAGAAACTGTTATATTATCATCATTTTGGGTTAAACCAATTATTATTATAAAAAAATACAGTAAATACTGTTTGGCCAGTCAAGTATGTAAAATTGATTCAAACTGGATTACTGACGGTATCTGAAAAAACATGGTAAGTTGGGGAAAAAACTACAGTTCATTCAAAGCGTAATATTCTTCAAGATTTTAAAACCATTGATAGTATGCATAAAATATAATTGTTTCTTTAGAATTAAAATACGATTATCACTCGAGATGGTGAATTATTTAGTATCAATGTTGTACTTTTTGTGACCTTGTCTATTCGACATATTAAGTAATATTATTAATTAAAAATTATTGTTCATTCATACGAGTCTTTCGATATATTGTATATTTAAGTAACCATTTCAATATTTTTGGTGACCAAAAAAATGGAAATTAATACATTTATTTTTTTTTTAATTCTGAAACTATGAATGTAAAAATGTGCATGGGTCTCGACAATATTTCTATTTCATTTTACCTTTGTTAAAATTTCAAGGTCATTGAAAGTACCATTGTTGGTCGGATGTTTGAGTTCAGGAAATCTCAAAATTACTTACATTAAGCTCTTATTTCTGGAGTAAAAAGAAGATTTTAATCCGAAGTCACCTAGAAAACATCATCTGACTTAAGATTAAAATACAAATAATTTCTCCAGAGGTCAGGGTACGATATGACGTTGTTACTATGCACCAATCAGTTCACAGCATTATATTGAGCCCAGCCAATGAGAACGCTCCATTCTGAGCTCGGAGAATGGACCATTGGTTGTTAAACACATGGCACTGATATGGTACATTGTATTGTTTCGCGGTTATAACTAATTCTGTCTTGTTTTGATGACAATGTTTAGACTACGTTATTAACATATTAATGATGTCATTATTTACATATTTCACTTGTAGAAAAACTCTTGTTTATGCATTTCGGAAAAATCTCTTTTTCCTTCATAGTAGAAAAATGATCAAATATCACAATCTGCAGAAAATTTAGTGAATATCACAATCTGCAGAAAATTTAGTGAAAAAATAGACCTTGGGTTTGAACAGCTTTTGTTTAGCGGTTTAAATTTGAAGGGTTGGACAGATATGAAGTGTTAGTTTATGGACAGATTTGGGCCTTGTTTATCTAGCCACAAGAATCCTGGATGTCACACTGTTACCTGTTTTCTATAGGAAATTGTCCAAGTCATACAGCCATGTCAGCATCTTACACGTTTTACGGGGAAGTGGCTGGATAACTGAGGCTCAAGTGTGTGCCAATATAATTCTGTTAGTTTTATTTCATTTTCTAAATGGAAGTAAGGGAATGGGTTTTTGGAGAAGATATTTTCGTATGAAATTTGTTTTGTGTATACGACTTTTGAAAGGGTTTTTTTAAATGCCAACAGATACATAGCATGCTATATGAAACTTTTCTTTGGCATGAAAACATCTTTTGGATATTTTTTTTTTTAATTTACATTAGTTATCACTTAATATTTTTTGCTGAAAACCAAATAGGGTATCATTTACTAAAGATCTTCAGAAACATTGATTTAACACTACTAGGATATATGGTGTTGAATTATAAATCATCTTAAATCTAGGCTATAACAAATTCAGATTTGAAAAATAAAAATAAAAATCAATTTAAACTAAAATACAGGAGTATCTGCCTTGTTTGGTTTAAGATAGCTGACACTTTTATATTAACCTTTCTCCCCTACAAACAACATTAGACCTTACCACAAAAGTGGATAGAAGAGTCTATTGTCATCATAAAGGGGTGGAAGCATGTTTTGAACAGATGGTTTTCTAGTTGCTCAAGGCATGACATACAGCTTTAGAAACATTTTTGGAATTAACATATTTTGTTTAATTATTATGATTATATTATGATTTTTTAAATTGTTTGATTGAATAGGTTTTATTCTTCATGGATAAACTTTGTTCATTTTACAAAATCTCCTGAAAACTTAACTGTTTTGGAGAGCAAACATTTTGTAAAATAAGTGAAATTTTGTAACTGTTTTTAATTATTTCACTGCACTTTTTCTTTCCTTCCATTTTCTTTTAACCATTTATGTCAAAGTTTAACCATGTGGATTAATTTATTAATTATTTCTGTAGATATATTGAATATATAGATTTTATCAGCTAGTGAATACATTTTGACACTGTCGCCCCCTATTCTGTTCAATAGGATTCATCCAGATAAAATAATGGGCTGTTTCATTGTACAAATATAGGGGATGCAGGTGTCAAAATAGTTTGTGAATTCATTAATATTTAATTTAACAATGTTTTGCTGTAACAGATTTATACTGTAACCATTTTTTCCTGTAATAGTTGCTGTTACTATTAGTCATATATATCATGCTTACTTAAACTTAATTGTTTAGAAAATAACTTCAATTAATTATTTAGAAAATAATAATTTAAGATAACAATTCTATAGAAAGCTAGTGTATTTTTACTACAATGTTAGTTTTTGTTCAGCCAATTTATTAGATCTATATAGAGCAGTGTGATTATTAATTTAGTTTTGTTTTTAGTTAGACAATTGTATATTCTGATATTGTTTTAATATTGTCACTGTCAGCTATGAAAATTTATCAACATACCTATAGGCACCCATCCCTACAGACACAAAATAGACCGGACCAAACTATTGGCAGAGTCTATTGAAGTTGAATAGGGATATTGACCTGTCATACAAGTTGATAAATCTTCATAGAAACAGATGTATAAACTTTGAAATCATATAAAATATATGACAATAAAACATTAACTTGTATGAATGGAATAATTTGCATGTGTGGAACGTTGTGCATGAACTATTAAAATCTATTAATACTTCAAAAACTTCATTGAATATCACATCAATTGTCATCTTACTTAGTTGATAGTGTATATTTTCCTTGAAAATACAGTTTAATAATCTTAATTATGCTTTTGTCTCCGTAGAAACCAAAGAAGAAATTGAAGCAGAACTTACTATTGAACAGGTTCTATCTGAAAAAGAAAAACTTGTGACAGCAGGTAAGGGCAATAACTCTGAAAAACTGTGAATAGTGTTTATACAGGAAGATTTTTTTTTATCACAGGCAACAACTCTAAAGGAAGGAAAATCTTATGAAAGCAGGAAAGGGCAATAACTCTAAAAGTAAACCCAGTGAACATGTTCTGTAAGATTTGGTAAAAATTTTGATGGCAGGTACAGGGAATATTTTTTTTCAAATGTTCTTTTATATGATATTTACCTTTTTTAATCAAATCAAAAATAAAAATATTGACATATATTTCATATTGATATATTGGCATCTATTTATATCTTCTTATTTATGTTTTTATGTATTTCGTTGTTTTAGAAGAAGAGAAGGATGCTGTATCTGAAGAAGAGAAATCTCCTGCTCCTGATGAGGTTGTTAAACCCAAATCACCAGAACTTGTCAGTAAGTAGTAGTTACTGTAGTACTTGAGAAACATCTGGTTATAGGGCCAAGTTTTTCAAAACCTGATTATAGTAACAGCAGCTTAACGAAAAAAAAAAAAAAAAATGAACTTCTTTTTCCAAAGATTGAAATTTATAACTTAAATTACAGCAAATTTAATATCTAAGGAAAGAAAAAATAGGAATTTTGTACATATTTCAGATGTTATAAAAAAACTCATTTTGAAAATTTGCATTAAGGATTTAGAAAGTAGTTGTATTTAGTCACTCAAAGCTTTTTGAATAAAATACAAAAATAAAAGAAGTCATATATGTTTTAGAAATTCTGTCTAAATATTTATTCAAAATGTTAAGCAAGATTTGTTACATTTTGTACAGCTGCTGAAATTCTTGAGGAACGCACAGCACCAGAAATCGTCCAACAACTTGAGGACATCACGTCCAAGGATGGTGGCAGCGCACGCTTCCAGTGCATCGTCGAGGGCCATCCCCGCCCAGAGGTCACATGGTACAAAGATAAAGAAGCGCTCACAACTTGTGAAGAATTCAGTATCTCCTACGAAGATAACCTTACTGTACTGGAGATCCCTGATGTTTACGTGGAGGACGGCGGAAAATACATAGTCGTGGCCAAGAACGAGCTTGGCTCTGCCACGACATCAGCAGAGCTCATTATAGAAGGTTTGTATATTGCTAGCTGTGCAAAGCCACTATTGGACACGTGATAGGTTAATAAGATAGATTTGCTTTAGCCAGAAAACTAGAATTGCATTGAGTGAGTAGCCCATTAAAAATAGCACTCAGTCTTGTTATCATGCGTGACATTCTTGAAAAATATAGCACCAAAGGCTACGCTATTAGGTCACCAACCGCGTCTGCTCTGATTAGATAAAAGTTTATGTTCAATCATGCCGAATGACGTTATTTCACATGGTAAGATAATATACCATCAGCTATATAGGAATGAAACTTTAGACAATTATTTGAAAAATTTGTATATTTGAATTAAAACTGTACAGTACCTTATGTGTCGTAAATATCATTAGTATACCCTGCAAAAAATCTCAAACTAAAGATAATTTTACTGACAGAAAATCTTAAATAAAAACGGAAAAGCATGATACTAGACAAGAGCGAGATTTACTGGACAACAGTAATCAACTGAAGTAGAGAAACATCAATGTTTATCACGGTTTAGAGAGGCTGCTACTTTCATCTGATGTTTTGTATCTGGAATTTTGACGTTATTTGAAATTTTTCAGTGCCTGCTGAAGAGATTATCACTGGCATTCCCCCCTACTTTGATAAGAAACCCAAATTCCAGAACGTGGAGACCGGGTCAACTGTTCACTTTGAGGCCGTGGTCAGAGCTTTACCACAGCCAGATGTAAGTAGAGTGGTCGAATAGTAGAAACAAATATTCTTCTTTTTATTTTGTTATAAATACAATGTATCATATTAATATTGAAAAATGAATTGTGTTAATTTGAAAAAGGTACTGACTCGGGTCGGTGGTTTTTCTCCAGGTACTTCAGCTTTCCTCCACCACCTTCTTTGCACGTTCTTAAATGACCGTAGCTGTAATTGGATGTAAAACACAACCAAACGAAATATGAAATAATGCAAATATTTCAGAATGTACAGAAAAAAGCAGAATGAAAGACTAGAGACGTATCTTAATGTAATGCCAGTAGATTTATTCAGAAAGATGACACATTTAAGAGTCGAGTCACTCAGTAAATTGATGAATCTGTTCTTGATATTAAAGACGTGATTATTGAATTCTGTTACAGATTATGTGGACACGGGAGGGAGCCATTATTTCCTCGTCAGACAAATACAGTGTGGAGACAGCCCCTCTACCTGAGGAGAACACCTACCACACCAGTCTGACACTGAACCAGGTCACATTGGGTGACGCTGGCACATACAAAGTCAGAGCGTCCAACGAGGAAGGCGACGCCAATGTGTCTGTCTCGCTCCTCGTCAGAGGTAGGTATCTCCGCGAAAGGAGGGTGGGTTGGGGGATAATATCTACGTTACTGACAGAAGAATAGGTCAGGGGAGTTCATTATTTTTACGCAGAACACTTGATACATTTACTGCTGGCTGAAACAGCTTTACAAGGTATTTTATTATAAAGGTTTACCTCCATTTTTTCAATTTTAAAAGTATTTTATTGACAATACATATATAATACAAACATATAAGTTAACATTAAAGAAGATATTAGAACAGTAGTGACAAAAGAATCAGACAACAGGCTATGCCTATATCAGTCTACTTCTTTACCTCCATGACACGATAGTTAGTCAGCGGAGTTCATTATTTGGCCGAAGAACACTGCTGGTGGAAACAGCTTTGCAGGGTATTTTATGGAATATTCTTGAGTAGACAGAAAACAAGTTCTTATTTTAGAATTTTTCACAACATATCATGTATAAGTAGTGCTTATAAAGATAGAAATAATTTCTGTTTTGTTTGTCTAGACGAAGGACCCAAGACGACAGACTTCCGTGATAGTCTCAAAAAAGAAGTGTAAGTACTGCATGATGTATTTTTAATCTGTTAAAGAGTATAATTTATCAAAGCTTTGGTTAGAGAGGATGTTGACCTGGCAGTAAGTGGTAGGTACCTGCTCTTGATTCAACTGATTAAGTTTGAATAAATGGTACAAAGATTGTTATTTTAACTTAACCATTTTTTTCTCTTTTTCTAGATGTGTGCTTAACTAATTTAGCTAGAAATTAGATGCGAGATATTTCAGTTTTATTATTTTCCATTAATATTTGTTGCAATTTCAATTTCAGTTTCTCTAACTTAGATTTAGACTGTGTGAATTACTAATGAACTGTTTATCTCTAACTTCACAAATTATTTATTTTTTGAAATATTATTTTAGTTTATTAGCCCTGTAATTATAATACACTTGATTTTAGTTCATTACGAGGTAAAATCATCCACTGAACTAACTTAATGTAATTTTGTAAATCACTTATTGTTCACAATGGAATTAACCCTTTCACCCCTATGTAACTTTAGTAGACTCTACCATGTATTGATGTGGATGAGTCCATTATGGTCTACAGTGGTGAAAGGGTTGAATTTGAGTTCATTATTCCAAGCAGAAGCTAACAGACTTGCATTGTTACAGTCGTAAAATTGAATATTTGGAAACAGTTGATTTTTAGCAATTTTATTTATGAAATTCCGGAATTGTAAGTGATTAACAAATTACAGTTTGGATTATGGTCACGTGACTAAAATCTAAAATAAAAGTGATGTGCCATAACAGTGATCCGATAATTAAAATCATAAATTTCATTAATGCTGTCCACTCACAGGAAAACCAGGGTGGGCTTCAAATTAAAAAAGCCAAAACCACAAGTGGATTTCAGAGCTCATCTAAAGGAAGTGTGAGTTACTACACCAGAGAAATGCGTTGGTGACACCTGTATTTTGTAACGCTTGCTTTGATTGGATGTTGTCAGAAAATCAAACCATACCTGTCGTGTTTTCTGATTGGATGTCAATCGAAATATACAACCAATATTATTCACCCGTTATGAATATTTTTCCTGAATGGTTAAATATATCAACCAATGAAATAGCCTCTCTGTCTGAATGTCCTTGGAAACATCAAAAACCTTTCCTGTCGTGTTTTCTGATTGGACGTCTATGGAAATATACAACCAATATTATTCACCCGTTATGAATATTTTTCCTGAATGGATATATACATCAACCAATGAAATAGTCTTCCTGACTGAATGTCCTTTGAATCATCAACAACCTTTCCTGTCGTGTTTTCTGATTGGATGTCCGTTGAAATATACAACCAATACATGTAATCCCCTGTTAGGATTTATTTCCTGAATGGTTTTAAATATGTCAGAGAATGAAATGTCCTTGGAAACATCAACAATCTTTCCTTTGCCTGTTATATTTGTGTTCTATTGGCTTAAATATCAACCAATGAAAAACCCTGTCTTCTATATTAGCACAATCATTTAACAACGAATTAGTCCAATATTTGGAATGAATTTTCCTTATAAACAACACCAAAAGTATTTGTGTAAAAAGGAGCTTTTGTTATTTTTCTAGCATGCTTTGACAGAATTCACAAATCAGCTTCATTTTTACACCTTGCAGAAACCAGGATGTATCATTTGTATAGCCTGCATTGATTGGTTGGTAGCCAAAAAACAATTGACCACTGAAATTCCTTCTTTTATTTGCTATATAAATGAAGTATAGTTTTTGTGTTGCCTCCATTTATTCATATCATGGATGAATTTAAGAAGTAAATCTTGTTTTCATGAATGTGTATTACAATGGTGTGCATGAATATAAATGGATGTATTGCACATTTTTAAATTCTGTTTCATTTTTGTTTCATGTGCATTTTTGATGATTTGCCACGAGGTTATCTTTCTTGCATGTTGTTGTAATTAGCATGTGATTGTGTTATACAGAAAAACCAGGGTTGGAATAAAACATGCACCAGCACAGAAGGACTTCAGGGAAAATCTCAAAACTGAAGTGTGAGTAAAATGGTTGTTAGGGGGAGATTTCAAAAAGGAATTTCCATCAGTATCTAGGTAAATTTTCAAAACAGTTTAACAGATTGCAATTTCTTGTTTTTACATATATACAATAATGTATATATATTGAAAAGATAATGAATAAGTATTAAATAATAACAAGCTAAATGGGATCACTTAGGGAATTAGTTAAAGTAAAACTAACATCACATATAAACATTAAATGTGTCATGTATATTAGATAGCTTAATGTTAAAAATAACCAATTTGGGCCAATGCTAAGTGAAAGCGAAGCTCAAGATTTTCGATAAATAGTTTAGTTCACTTATTGTTATCAAATTTGTGAACAGGAAAACGAAGGTCGGTGTATCACATGGTCCTGAGCAAATCGACTTCCGTGACAAACTCAAATCACAGGTGTAAGTACCTGACTCTCAAGGGTATGGACCCCTTACAATGTGATAATTACCTTCAGAAACTGTTGACACACTCTCACTCTGTGCACCTGTACAAATTACTCGTCTTTCTTTCCTATATCTCAGTTCTTTAACTCAGAACAAACTTGTTTTTGATGAAAAAATAATTATTAGTTCACTATTACATTTGTCCGATCTGGTATGATAAGCATCCAGTTTTATCCATCCTAACATCGTTTATGTGTGTATTTTGCGTAATTTTGTCATTTGTATATTACATCATTGTTTTGTGTGTATGACATCATTGTTTTTTGTGTCTGAGATCATGTGTTTGTGTGTATGACATGCATGCTAATGAGATTTGTTATTGCCTTGGTAACAGTCGGACTAAGGAAGGGGTTTCCTTTGGAGCAGAACAATTAGACTTTAGGGATAGTCTCAAAAGCAAAGTGTGAGTATAGCAAATGGTTTCTGAAAGAAACCTTTAAAAAAATAAGAAAAAAATATTAACTCAAAGTCAGCTGTAAAAATTATCTCTACTTTTCATAAAGTGCTTGGAAATAGCTCTATATGTGGTTCAACAAATATAATTAAAAATAAGTTTGATGAAATAAAAGGATACATAAAATATATTAAAATAAAATGAAGGGGAGGGAATTATGTCATGAGAAATACATCATGTGACTTTGTCATGTGATATATGTAATGTATGTCATGGGACATTTTCAAATTTGCATGAACTTTAACATGTTAGGAAAACCAAAGTCGGCATGTCCTATCAGGCGGAACAGGTGGATTATAGGGATGCGCTCCAGCGACAGGTGTAAGTAGTAAATTTAAGTCATTTTAGCACAAGCTTATAAGTTTTTTGAGAAGTTATTAAATGATAAATGATTTAAAAAAAAAAGAAACTAACAAAAACAACCTGTCTGCAGATTCTTACCTGAAGATTTTCCAAAATGGTAATTTAGAACTTTGTTAGCGGATTGAATCATTCTGAGTGACTGAATAAATTACTTGCTGGTTATTTTCCGATGCATTGCATGACTGTGTTTTAACCTGCATGAACTTTGATGAAATAGGAAAACCAAAGTTGGAACAACCTTTGCGACAGAACAGGTTGATCACAGAGATGCTCTTCAAAAGCAGGTGTAAGTAGTGAACGTTGAAACTTTTTTTTCGTTCTAGAAAGTTTTCCCAAATTTCAAAATATCAAACAGCATTATTAATATTTCATAAAAAATGTAGCTAAAATGGATGCAAGTCCTTTGAATAAAATAAAATACCAAAACTAATAATACATTATAAAACTATGTGTCGTAACATGATAAATGACGCTCTACTGATTGGCATGTCAAACTTCCATACATAGGCAAACCAAGGTGGGCACGTCTTTTGCCACGGAACAAGTTGATTATAGAGATGCGCTTCAGCGCCAGGTGTAAGTAGTTAATAATGTTTTGTTAGAAATTCAAATTTTAGCTTTTTAGTTTTGAAAGATATTCCTTTTTTCAAAATAGACATAGCTTTAAAACAAATATCAGAAATGTAATTTTACTTTTAAACGGCAGATGAGACTAATTTCATAAACCATTGTATCCAAATATCACATTTAGTCACGATTACATTTTGTACACTCTATCATCATTGGATGTCTCTTTACCATTATAAAGACAAATGTTGAACAGAATTTATAAAACAGGTCTGTTAATGACTTTTACTGCGAGCTTTAATCAGCGAATCCTATTTTCATTATGTAATTTGCATGTTTGCTCTCATTGTGTGTCTTACTTGCATGGTTTTGATGATACAGCGATACCAAGGTCGGCACAGTCTATGCTTCAGAACAGGTGGACTATAGAGACACGCTCCAGAGGGAAGTGTGAGTACTTCTTAAACAAAGGGAGATAAGCAAAGAGAATCCACGCACTGAGAGAGGATATCTATATAGTTCAAGGGGGGTAACTCTAGAATAGGACCAAAGGGGGTAACTCTAGAATAGGACTAAAGGGGGTAACTGTAGAATAGGACCAAAGGGTGGTAACTCTAGAATGGGACCAAAGGGGGGTAACTCTAGAATAGGACCAAAGGGGGGTAACTCTAGAATAGGACCAAAGGGGGGTAACTGTAGAATAGGACCAAAGGGGGATAACTGTAGAATAATACCAAAGGGGGTAACTCTAGAATAGGACTAAAGGGGAATAGCTCTAAAATGGGACCGCAAGGGGGTTAACTATAGAATAAGATCACACAGTTTTTACTATAGAGGAGGACCACAGGGGGATAACTCTAGGTTAGGACCAAAGAGAGAACTGCTCTAGGTTAGGACCAAAGACTGGACAACTCTAGATTAGGACCAAAGAGAGGACAACTCTTAAGGGAGAACAAATCCTGATTTTTTTTTTCTAAATTAGGAATAACTCTGTTGAAGGAACTCAAGGATTACATACTGAACAGAAAATTGAAATAGGATTGTTTTAATGATTTTCATTGATAATAAAAACTGTTTTGAAAAGTTTTGAACTGATGTTTGTTTTGCATGTAATTATATTGTGATGTGCATGGTGGTTTGTGTTACACAGAACGACAAAGGTTGGGGTCACTTACGAATCTGAGCAGGTTGACTACCGCGATGCCTTACAGACAAAGGTGTAAGTATTTCGCCCTGCCGTAGGGCAGAGAGAATGAGACGATTACCTGTCTAACGATGCAAACAAAAAAATAAAAAAACATTACAGAGAGTTTATTTAATATTTAATTAAATTTCAAACAATTTCTTTCTGATATCAACATTTTTACCAAAAGTAATACTTACAGAATAAGATGTTGGAAGAAAAAGATTTTACAGAAGAACATCAACATTCTTGAACCTAAAATTCTGATGAAAAAATGAAAGATCTTTGAAGTATGAAGTAAAACTAGATAACATAATGAGTTGAAATTAAGTTTTAATGAATTTTTACCTAACACAATGACATCTAAAGAGAAATGTTAATGTCATAATCATATCGAAATTTTCAATTTACTTATAAATTGGAGAGAAATATTTATTGTCTAGAAACAGTAAAATTGCATTGGTTTTGCATGTTGCATGGTTTGCTTGTGTTTGCAATAGGACAACCAAGGTAGGGACCCAAGGTTACCAGGCCGAGCAAATAGACTTCCGCGAAGTTTTACAAAAACAGTGAGTGGAATTTATTTCAGAATCATCCTCATCAGACGGATTCTTCTCCTTTTTTTGCAGGATTTATGCATTTGTTGAACCATCATATTTTATAGATCATTTATTTAATTGAATTTTTTTTTATGTAAAGATATCATTCATAAGAGATGTATCAATTACTATGATTTGAAATGTCAAGTCTATCTCAGACGTTAAAATATGGAGTATTTTATTATCATATTATCGTACCTATTTTATCTTTACTCATTCACCCCTGAAATTTCATGATAAACTATTCCAACATTTTAATTGGAAGAGTTCAAATGTGTCTTCAGGGGTGAATGAGTGAAGGTGTATCATTATGAATAAATGTTTCTTCGATCCCGATACCAGTGTGTGATGCCTACAGAGGTTTGTGTGACACCTGTAGCTATGTCTGTGAAGGACTTATAAATAGATGTTTGCGTGACCCCTACAGGTGTGTTTGTGAAGGACTTATAAATAGATGTTTGCGTGACCCCTACAGGTGTGTTTGTCAATGGTTTATTTCTGTTGTTTCAGGACTTTGGAGGAATCCCAGACGGAAGTCCTGACAGCCGAACAGGTAGACTTCCGTGATGTTCTCCAGCATGTAAGTCTGTCGATGGCATTATAAAGTCACTCTGCATCCTAATCTTACCCCAATGTACACGTTAAAATTCATAAACGATATTTTATCAATTTTTTATGTGGAACTCTTTTAGAATGGAGAAGCATATAACATTAAGGTAGCATTCATCCTTAAACACATCTATATATCACTCTGTTTAGGTCGAAGTGGTCGCACCAAGATTCGAGACCAGGATCGAGAGCGTGGTTACCAAGGAAGGTGAACCCGCCAAATTTTTCGTGAAAGTCACAGGAAAGCCGGCCCCCACCATTTCGTGGCACCATGACGACCAAGTTCTCACCACTGACGAGATCTACAGGGTCACAGAGGGTGAGGAAGGGGAGAGCACTCTTGAACTGCCTGAAGTGTTCCTAGAGGACACTGGCAGGTATACAGTCAAAGCTGTCAACGAAGCTGGTGAAGCTATCGCCACAGCAGCACTAACAGTGACAGGTATGTTCGAGCCTTTATCCTTACTTGCTATGTTTTCCATGTATGTAATTTTATGTGAAATTCAATCATGGAGAAAAAGAAAAAAATGAGAAAAATTGAGAAAGAAATTTTATATGTCTGATTGTATCAGATTTCTTTCCAGAACAAAAGGTTGTTGCTGTGTGCTTAGGAAAATCAGAGCATAAATGATTTTGTCAATTCAATATTGAAAGGAAATGGAAAGAAAATATTCTAGGAGAAAATATACTGAAATGATATCTATAACTATCTGATGAAGATTTTCTCAAAACCAAAATGAGGTATAGTTATTGTCCAAAGAAAATCTGAGGAGACCTTTTTTCTCAATTTTGCAGAGGAAATCGTTCAAGAGGAAACTTTCTCAACAACAGAAATCATTCAACAGGAAGTTACGCAGACAGTCGAATCGGAACAAGTGGTTTCTGTCCAGCAAACCATAGAAACCTCTGATGTCACCAGAACACAAGTGTATGTAGCATTTCAGTTTTTTTAACTCATTCACTCCTACATATTTAAAATGGACTTGCCCGGTCTGTGAATTCTGTGATTTGGTAAGGTTCAAATGTTACTTTAGGGGTGAATGGGTTAAATAGTTCTGAACACAAGTGTTTGTAGCGTTTAATCTTCTTTTTCCAAGTAGTTTTGCAGGATTCTGTTGTTCAGAGCACTTTGAAATTAATGAGAAGATAATCTAAATTTTAAAAAAATACTATAATTTTTTTCATCAGCATCTGATATTGATATGGTGTTTGCTTTTATATGAGCGTTAATCCTTTCTCCACTGTAGACAATAATGGACTCATCCAGATAAATGTATGATAGAGTCTACTAAAGCTACCTAGGGGTGAAAGGGTTAAAGGTCCTTACATATGTATCTTGTGAAGACAATATCCCGTCACATTGCCAGGTTCTGTAATTTCTTCTTCTGTACAATTCTCACAGGCGACAATTTTTTGGTTATAAGTCTCCACCAGGACTTCTAGACTTCAGAAATGTTTTACGACCTATTACAATGAGGTCAAGGTGAGAAATGGGTTCTGTTACCGCGGCAACAAGGCCCATAACACAGAGTTGGATTGAAGTTTGATTGCTGAGGATAAAAAGTGTTGTTTTTTTGTTAGTTTTTTTCCAGTAAAAACATGCTAGATAAGTTTTGCTAGAAAAAAGAAAGTAGCCTCTTTCCATGGGTATTTGAAAAATTAAAAAAATTAATGAATTGAGTAATGTTTTGTGTGATGAAGTTTTTCAATTAATGTCGTACCTATTTTATCTTTACTCATTCACCCCTGAAATTTCATGATAAACTATTCCAACATTTTAATTGGAAGAGTTCAAATGTGTCTTCAGGGGTGAATGAGTGAAGGTGTATCATTATGAATAAATGTTTCTTCGATCCCGATACCAGTGTGTGATGCCTACAGAGGTTTGTGTGACCCCTGTAGCTAGTCTGTGAAGGACTTATAAATAGATGTTTGCGTGACCCCTACAGGTGTGTTTGTCAATGGTTTATTTCTGTTGTTTCAGGACTTTGGAGGAATCCCAGACGGAAGTCCTGACAGCCGAACAGGTAGACTTCCGTGATGTTCTCCAGCATTTAAGTCTGTCGATTGCATTATAAAGTCACTCTGCATCCTAATCTTACCCCAATGTACACGTTAAAATTCATAAACGATATTTTATCAATTTTTTATGTGGAACTCTTTTAGAATGGAGAAGCATATAACATTAAGGTAGCATTCATCCTTAAATACATCTATATATCACTCTGTTTAGGTCGAAGTGGTCGCACCAAGATTCGAGACCATGATCGAGAGCGTGGTTACCAAGGAAGGTGAACCCGCCAAATTTTTCGTGAAAGTCACAGGAAAGCCGGCCCCCACCATTTCGTGGCACCATGACGACCAAGTTCTCACCACTGACGAGATCTACAGGGTCACAGAGGGTGAGGAAGGGGAGAGCACTCTTGAACTGCCTGAAGTGTTCCCAGAGGACACTGGCAGGTATACAGTCAAAGCTGTCAACGAAGCTGGTGAAGCTATCGCCACAGCAGCACTAACAGTGACAGGTATGTTCGAGCCTTTATCCTTACTTGCTATGTTTTCCATGTATGTAATTTTATGTGAAATTCAATCATGGAGAAAAAGAAAAAAATGAGAAAAATTGAGAAAGAAATTTTATATGTCTGATTGTATCAGATTTCTTTCCAGAACAAAAGGTTGTTGCTGTGTGCTTAGGAAAATCAGAGCATAAATGATTTTGTCAATTCAATATTGAAAGGAAATGGAAAGAAAATATTCTAGGAGAAAATATACTGAAATGATATCTATAACTATCTAATGAAGATTTTCTCAAAACCAAAATGAGGTATAGTTATTGTCCAAAGAAAATCTGAGGAGACCTTTTTTCTCAATTTTGCAGAGGAAATCGTTCAAGAGGAAACTTTCTCAACAACAGAAATCATTCAACAGGAAGTTACGCAGACAGTTGAATCGGAACAAGTGGTTTCTGTCCAGCAAACCATAGAAACCTCTGATGTCACCAGAACACAAGTGTATGTAGCATTTCAGTTTTTTTTAACTCATTCACGCCTACATATTTAAAATGGACTTGCTCGGTCTGTGAATTCTGTGATTTGGTAAGGTTCAAATGTTACTTTAGGGGTGAATGGGTTAAATAGTTCTGAACACAAGTGTTTGTAGCGTTTAATCTTCTTTTTCCAAGTAGTTTTGCAGGATTCTGTTGTTCAGAGCACTTTGAAATTAATGAGAAGATAATCTAAATTTTAAAAAAATATTATAATTTTTTTCATCAGCATCTGATATTGATATGGTGTTTGCTTTTATATGAGCGTTAATCCTTTCTCCACTATAGACAATAATGGACTCATCCAGATAAATGTATGATAGAGTCTACTAAAGCTACCTAGGGGTGAAAGGGTTAAAGGTCCTTACATATGTATCTTGTGAAGACAATATCCCGTCACATTGCCAGGTTCTGTAATTTCTTCTTCTGTACAATTCTCACAGGCGACAATTTTTTGGTTATAAGTCTCCACCAGGACTTCTAGACTTCAGAAATGTTTTACGACCTATTACAATGAGGTCAAGGTGAGAAATGGGTTCTGTTACCGCGGCAACAAGGCCCATAACACAGAGTTGGATTGAAGTTTGATTGCTGAGGATAAAAAGTGTTGTTTTTTTGTTTGTTTTTTTTCCAGTAAAAACATGCTAGATAAGTTTTGCTAGAAAAAAGAAAGTAACCTCTTTCCATGGGTATTTGAAAAATTAAAAAATTAATGAATTGAGTAATGTTTTGTGTGATGAAGTTTTTCAATTAATGTTATTTGAAAGTGTTGATTTTTATGCCAGATAAAGTAAAATATAGTTCATAAGAAAGGTCTTAATTAATCTATGTTTTGATAATTGACCAATATATTTGTATTAACACTGTTTGAAGTTTGTACTGATTGTGATTTTTTCAGCGTTTTTTTTGCTTTGTGACTGTTGACCTTAATCGGTCTAAATATGGCTATGCTAAAATGAAGGACACATACTTTATGTCAAATTGTAGATGATTATTGAGTAATTCAAAAGTAGACCTAATTATAACAGAAGTGATTTCTCCCGATGGGCGAACAATTTTCCGTACGATAGGATAATTCTAACAGATTTCTTATTCTTATTGTCTTATTAGTTATGTAACAAGCTGATATGTTTATGTTGATTTAGTTTTCCTGCTCTTACTTGCGGCAGTTTATGAATTCCCTGTAATATATAGCCAACGTAACTTTACTTTTGATTCCTCCAACAGAGACGTCTCAGCCGGCCTCATTGCAGAGGAACAGGTCTCAGAGATCCAGAAGGTGGGTGATCAACCACATGAGATAATAACATGTCTGTTGGAGACACAGATAGAGCCAAACGTATCATCAAGTTAATTTCTGATATGTTTTTTCTGAAGTTAGACATACAATGGATTCCTTTTGTGTAAATATCTGTAAAGACAGTTAAACCTGCTCAAGTTTACTTTAAGAGTAATCAAGAGACCACCTGTGTTAAGAGACCACTTTTAATGTTTCCCATTGTAGTAATTTTGTTGCAAACTGAACCTGTGTTAAGAGACCACCTGTATTAAGAGACCACCTGTGTTATGAAACCACCTTTGAAAATAAATTGTAATTCTTCAGCGAGGTCTGTTAATGCAGGTTTGGTTTTATACAAATTAAGTGTTACAAATGATGAAAACTATACCAAAGGTAATTTCTTTTTTTAATTTGAAACAGATGTACTTTCATATAAACATAAAATGCATGTCTTACAATTTCTTTGATAAACTTAACCATCATGATAGCTATAGAATTCTTTTTTGAAAGGTAGTTTTCCGTATTACTACAGAAATTTTGAAATATCGTAGACATTCCAATGTTGTTGTGGTTTGCAGGTTGGTGACCTCGTTGCTCCGGCAGTTACTGTCGAGATTGACAAAGCGGTTGCAAAGGAAGGAGAGCCTGTCCAGTTCATCGCCAAGGCGTCTGGTTCACCGGCCCCGACCCTCCAATGGTACTATGGCACAGAGCCAATCACCACCGACGAGATCTACAAGGTCACAGAGAGTAAGGAAGGGGAGAGCACTCTGGAGTTGGCCGAAGTCTTCCCAGAGGATGCTGGTCAATATACAGTCAAGGCTGTCAATGGGGCAGGAGAGGCCGTCGCTACAACAACACTCAACATCGTTGGTAGGTTTTCATTTTTCGCCGTAACATTATTTACGTTTTTTCTTCATTTTACCAGAAGATCCACCATCCAAATTACACTGAAGGTGAAATTTAACACGGGAAATCAGGTGTTACTATAACTACAATCAAACCTCAATGTGATGTTCGTCGTTTCATTAACCATTTACTATTCTGTCATTTAATTGCATTATCTCATATTCCTTGCATTTGAATTTATTCAAACGTCTCCTTGGAGATAATGTTGATAGTCTCTATAATGCTGAAATTTCTCTATTCAAATCGAGGCAATATTACGTTTTAACAGTTTTCCAACAATCTCTAACTGGTATTTTTTAATTGTTGTACAGGATTATAACTTTTCATTTAAATATTTTATCATTGTAGAATATGCAGAGGAACAACCAGAAATGGCAGCTGAAGTATCAGTGAAACTCGCTTCAGAAGAGGTAGGCTCAAACCCTTTCTACATCATATATCCATATCATTTTAAAAATTTATTCTTAAATATTTATTACACTGGTAAAATGGTACACAATATGCTAAAAGCTACAGGTGTTTTTTTTTAATATAAAAATAAATTTATATTAAAAAAAATACTTTAATGTTAAATATAACAATTATATGACAGTGATATAAAATTATATTGAAAAAAAAACAAAAAAAATCCAGATTGAATATATTCTAATAAATCTATGTTGAAAGGCTTTGATAAAAATTAAAAAATAATAATGATAGATCAAATGGATTCCTGCGGATATTCCCTTAAATGTCTAACATTTAAAATAGTACCGGATGTTTCAGTTTTTAAGTGCTTCATGTATCTCACACTAATAGTGCAATCATAATATAAAATATGTATTTTGTTGTTGTCCAAACCACAAAAATACGATTTCAGTGATTTTGATTTAAAATATAAAGTCAAAATAGAAGCAAAAAAATTTTATTTTTTATTTTTTTATTAAAAATTTTGTAGAATATCTGCTGGAATCCGTTTTCATATAAATTTGTTTTTGATTTAATATTTCTCTGAGCTATGGTGAAAACTTTTGGAGTGCAAGACAAACACAGCTTTTACTAATATTGTAGTGGTATGAACGGATTTACTCTAATACTTAGACAGAGTCAAGACTATGTTAATTTTAACTAACAGCTTTTGAAAAATATTATCAAATCCATCTGAATAACATAAACAAAAAATTATGTTTGTTTAACTAAATAGTAGCACATAACTCTTTATTAAAATCAAGTTTATTCTGTTCTTGGAACATTTTTTTATTTCCTTATAATTATTTTTTAATCCCCAAATATTAATAACAAGATTGCTTTATAATATATGCATTGTTTGCCTTTTTTGAGATATGTTAAAATTGTTTAATTTAAAAAAGTTTGTTTTAAAATTTAATTTTCAATTTGATTATCATTTAAATGTTTTAATTTTTGTATCATTTATCATTTCATCTTATTGCGTATTGTTCTATGATTTTGAAATTTGAGCATGAATATTTGTTATTTATATTTATTTAAAGTATATGCATGTAAACATTTAAAACAATACTTTGACATTTTGTGAACAAAAGCCTGAACTGATTCAGCTATCAAAAACTGTTATGGACTCGCAAATAGTCAGATTTTGTTGATAAAAATATCAAAAATCATTTCTAAAATTTAAATTTAAATTCCAGATGTGGCAAAAAAATCTTTAAAATTCTCATTAATTATTCATGACTCAAGCAATTAATGATATCAAGGATATATTCTGGATGGATTTGTACATCTATACAAAAACCAATTCTGGATACCTGTTATAATTTGGTATATATCACGCAAATATTTTTGCAGTTGAAAAAAAAGTTTCAAAGTTCATAATACAAAATATATTGTCTGAACCAGTTTGACTAGAATAGAAAAGGTTTGAGTAATGTGAAATATAAAGTTTGGCATGTTCTGGTTGTCATGGTGACCGCATGGCTGGGGTTCTATATCATGTAAATGGTGACAGCATGGGTCTCGGATATAAGACATCGTCAGCTTTCAAGCAAATAGCTCTGAATATTTGTCTTTTAAATTATATCTGCCTTCTCGTCAATCAAAACTTTCTTTCAACAATAAATCAACCAATTACATTGGGCTAACTTTGCATCGGAATGGGGGTGATGTGGTATTTTATATTTCAAAATATATCTAATATTTATCTTGTACATTCTATGGATTCGAGAGTAACAGGTTATGTTTGTTACGTTGGGAAATGTGTACTTCGGATGTTATTTATATTTATGGAAAGTTTGGGATACAATTGAATGCTCTTTGTATGATACATTATTATCTCTAAAAAGAATACTGCAGGGCGATGTCTGTATTCTGTTTTCTTCCAAAATTTATGTTTTCTCCTCAAATAATATAAATTCAATGAATTCTATAAAGATGTAAATTAGCGAAAACAGACATCGGGAAATGCAGAGCCGTGAATGCATTGACAAGATGTATGGTATGGCGATGAAAAATTATACGGGGGATGTTGACAAGGAATGCAATATTGTGAAACATTGAGTCATGTATGGTATGGTATGGTATGGTATGGTATGGTGATGAAAAATTATACGGGGGATGTTGACAAGGAATGCTGTATTGGAAATGCATCTTGAAATGTCTTGATAAAGTGACTTAGGCCGGAGCTAGATTTGAAAGCTGATGATGTCCTATATACAGAAAATATTGGTGACAAGAATATCCTAACAACCCTATTTTATACACTTAACCTTTGTTTTTAGAGAGCAAACATTCACTGCAATTCCCTACAAAATGCTCACCAATTTGTAGAGGGGACTGTCTCATAATCAAAAAATGATTTCATTGAATCAAAAAATTCTTTTTGACATTATTGATGAAGATTGGAAATGTTAACAAATTTAACTATGAAAAAAATATCTTTTCAAAAAAGTAATGTCAAACTTAATTTTTGATTTTGAGATTTTCCCCATTTTTTAATCAGAAAGCATGCTGGTAAACGCTTGCCCTTTTGCTTCCTTTTCACACAGTCTTCGCATGCCTTCCCCGACACACAGTACGAAGTAGGTACAAAAGTTTTCACATGGCACCTCCGTTCGGAGGGCATGCAGGACGCGGGTAACTTACCCACACCCACTCTATTGAAGGAGGAAGTCGAGGTTATCGGTGACGACGAGGAATTCTATGAAGCTGAAGAATCAGTACCGCAATTCAGCTTCGAGGCGAAGGTTGATACTGATGAAGAATCTGACGTTGTGTCAGATACTGAAGAGAAACCAGAATATACCTTCAACGCCGATTTCAGTATTGACAGTCAGATTATAAAAGACAAAGAATCTGAGGAGGAATTCACATTCATCCTCAAAGAGGATGTCCCTGAACGGTCTCCGGAGAAGGACGTTGATGAGACAGATGAGTTTACCTTTGTCACCAAAGATGACATCCCAAAATTGGATCTGCCTCACTCTTCATCAGATGAAGAAGAGGAGGTACGAAGACCCAGACCGGTACAGGATGATGACTTGTCTATATCCAGTTCAGAGGAATATATCTCAGACGAGGAGGTTGTTGTATCCTCTGCCAGCTCAGATTCGGAGCCTGAAACAGACAAGGAACAACGTAAAGTATTGATGCCGGACGTAGTCCCTAAACATAAAGAGCCCATCAAAGTCTACCCCACTTCATCCTCCTCATCTACCTCTGAGGAAGAAGAAGAAGAAGATGAGGTGAAGGATCAGACTTTTGATGCAACTGTCTTTGTGGAGGAGAAGCTACAACCAGACAGTGTACCAGTAGAAGAAGCAATGGTTCCGGTAGATGAGCCCTTTGTGTCCTCGTTCGAGATTGTGTCCAGGGATGAATACATGTCCAGACAGGCGATACTCGAGCCAGACGACGTGACATATGAGGCAAAATTAGAAGACAAGGAAGTTGAACAGCCTTTTACATCCACAGCAGAAGAAGCTGTCTTCACCCTCAAAACAGATGAGGAAGAGGAACCGTCTGCTCCGCATACAGAACATGACTTTGATGTCCGTCTTGAAACTGATGAAGAACCTCGAGAGGATGTTGTAGTCCAGATGTACATGGATAAGAAGTCCGACGATGAAGAACTTTTGGAGGAGTTTACTATCTCGGCTCCTAAAGACAAGAGGGAGGAGATCATGTTTGAGGAAAAGCAACCTGACGTGAGCGTGGAAGAACTGATGGAAGAACAAGATCAGGAATTAAAACCGACACCAGAGTTTTCCTTTGAGGCGGAGATTCAGGAAGAAAGACTAGATGATGAGGATATTGGTGAAGTGTCCTATGAGATTGAGGTATCAGAACCGAGAGAATCGGATGTCTCATTTGATGACCAGTCACTGAACGTCGTGATGACTGTCGATAACGATATTTCACTGCCAAGTGACATCTCATCCGAAGGCATTGAAGAAGATGATGAGCTTTACGAGGACATTGAAGAGTTCCAGGGAACGACAGTGTCTGTTCTCGAGACTGTGCCAGAGGAATCATCGCTGGAGGAGAGTCGATCCGCAGACATCACACCCGAGGTGGATCAAGATGTCTCGTTCTCATTCTCCGTGGACGACGGACCGAAGGATGAGGTTCAGGAATCATTCTCAATCTCAGAGGTAATGAATGGAGGACACGTTTATACAGGGGGAGAGCTGGTGAAGGGAGATAATTTCTCCAGTTTATAGAGTTTCCCTTAAAGGGAGATCACTGTCCCAAAATAGATTAATGGTTCACAAAGGGGAGACCACTTCCACAACTTTTCAGAGTCCTTAAAAAATGGCACCGTACTTTTGCGCAAATTTCTAAAATTAAAGGGAGATAATTAGTTTAACCAGAACAGTGCTGCTTTCTAACTAATCAATTTATAAGTGGTACAGTTCTTACGCCCTAACCAACACTATAGTTAAATCTATAGAAAAAAGTCCTAAAATATTCATTAAATTATAAGATTTCGCATTACTATTCATAACCATTTCATTCATCTGAGGTTTTGGTCCTCTAATCATTTCATATCTGTAACGTTCATCCTTAATAATAACACTTAAGACTATTTCATGTTTTCTTCTTCTCCTTAATATTGCCATTTGTGACGTGGTTTGAGAAGGATTTAAATACCATATGAAAAACAGCGCTTTGTATTGAAGTGTGAATTTAAAGCTAATTCATGCTGAGCATGCAGATGTGCTATATTTGTGGTTGTGACCATCAAGTTCATCAGCTACTTGGCAACTCATCAGTGTCCCAGTTCTTCATGTAAAATTCTGAATTCCCAAAATTATATGTAAACATGTTTAAATAAATTCCAAAGCTATATAAAATCTGTATACTTACAAAAGTAGATATGTATATAGACCAAGAGATTTTTATTAATATATTCCTGAAGATATATTGGGGAAAAAACGTTGCAAGGATCACATTGGGGAAAAAACTGCTCTCTCAAAGCTGGATTTCATATCAAGTTTACTTAAAAGAATTTTATCAAAATATCTTGAATTTTAATCTTGATTTAAAATGAAAACATCAGTTCTGATATTGGTCAATAATGCTAATGCTATATTGTGGCTTAGATACACATTTTAAAATTTCATTCGTAGAAATATATCCGCGAACACGCCACACCAGCTAGCTAGCACTATCTTCACCTGTTCCTAAATTGTACTGCTGAAATCCTATATTTATATATACACTCCACTTTATGCTCCCAATCTCTGTAAACAATCCAGTCTGTCCCTCCCTGCATATTTACACCATCCATTTATCTGCCCCTTTGTCATTGCCTGTAATACAGGCAGACATTGTCCAACACAGTTGCCTCCCCTTGTTTGAAGCTCTCCATATTGAAGTGTATTTGTTGTGTGATGTGGTATGGAGAATTGCGCTGCTCTATTGTGGGATTTTATGAGTAGGTGTTGTCTGTGAATTGTTTTACAGAGTATCAAGCCTTCGATATATTTCCGTGAACAAGAAGCCATTTATTCAAAATCATATCTTTATTCACCTTTAAGGCTTTTTAAAAAAATTGTGAGTTTAGTCAGTGTAGAATTTCCAATATTGTATCTCAACGATTAGAATCAAGATATAATGAAGATTATAGCTTCTTGAATGTTTCAATTTCTGAGAAGCTAACATTTTTTTTTTTATTAATTATTATTTTATGTTATAGATAATAATCTGTTCCCTTTATTATTTAGCCATTAGACAGACATTTTACTTTTATTGTACTTCTGTTACAAGACAGCAATTTCTTTCCTAGAAATAGAGTTTGATCAGAGTAGATTTTTCTTTTATTTATTTATTGAAGAAAAAACCCACAAGAGTTATCTTTCCTTGAGTGGGTTTGTTACCTACCTAAATGGTTTATTGTGGTGCTATGACCAGAGAAAGGTGTAGTTGCATACCTTTGGTGTTTTATGAATGGGTGTGAGCTCTTTTTATTTTTTTTTGCATCTTTTATATTGTGAAATTTTGGGAAAATCAAATGAAAATGTTCTTGAATTCTAATGAAACTTTTAATATGCCTGTATGGGATTATTCCTTATCCCTTTGAAATTCTTTCCTTCAAAACATTTCCAGAACATTTTCATGCTTTTTTGTTGTGGCAATAATTTTAGAATGAGATATTTTGTAATTGCATGGATACAACTTTGAATTGTTTTACTAAATGACCTTGAACTTTGATTAGGTCAAGACTGTAGAGTCTGTTGAGGTTGAGGTCACCATCCCAAGGTTCATGAGAGAGCTATCAGACCAGGAGGTTACCGAGGGTGACACTGTCACCTTCATTGTGGAGGTCCTCGGCAGCCCATTCCCAGACATCTCATGGTAAGGTTAAAGTTCACACTGCCAAGGTCAAATAGGTCAAACATATATATCACTTAAATATTGTACATGACAATGTTAGGGGGAAAATATCAAAATCTTAACATCTATGATGAAAATAAACGAGAAAAAAATGTTGATTTTGGTTAAACTGTTGGAGTAAAATGTACATAATTGTATTTTTTGAAAATAAGGGAAACAATGAATTTGTGGTAAACTTTCCTCAGGATCTGTTAGATTAATTTATCACTTTGCGTGTGACTTCTGAACTTTATCAGGTATATAACCTTTGACCTTTAACCACCTAGGTTCAAGGATGGTGTTGAGATCACCCCCGACGACCACTTCCAAATGGAAGTCCGTGGAAACTTTGCCTCACTTATTGTCAAGGATGTTGTTACCAACGATGATGCTGAATATGTTGTCAAGGCAACTAACCAGGCTGGAACTGCCTCCAGTATGGGAGAGCTCTTCGTCAATCCATCAGGTACTGTCATTATCAGAGCAGGTATACTGATTGGTTTAAACATTAAGGGGTTAAGTACCTATTGTTTTTGCATAAATTTTCAATTTCTGAATCAATTAACTTTTTCCAAATCTTGAAGGAATTTTTGTTTTAATGAATCAATAAACTTTTCCAGCATTAAGAAACTTGATTTATCCCAAGAATATTTTTTTTTAAATTCTTTAATTGTTGATGTTAAAACACCGACAGAAATGTCAAACTTAATTAATTTTTGTGTAATTGAAAAGCTTAATCTGTGGTCATTTATTTCTATAAGTATCAGTTTTTTTGCATATTCTTCTGGTTTAATGGATGGTTTAATGAATCAAAGAAAATCTATATAATATTTGCGTTTCTGTTTATTCTCAGGAGAAGCCCCTACATTTGTGGTCCGACTTGAAGATCAGACTATCGAACTTGGCACACCAATCAAATTGGAGTGCCAGGTCAAAGGTCATCCTAAACCTAAGGTCACATGGCTGAAGGATGGAGAGGAAGTCAAAGATGAACGATACACGTACGTGTTCCCTAAAATAGATTTATGTTGAAGAATTTAAGCTTGTTTTCGTGTTTGTGAAATATTTGAATAGTTTAGCCGTTTCACTTAAAGCGTTGTATAAATCGCATGTCATAAGATAAATTTTGTGTGTTTACAGAATAATTTTTTTCAGAATATTTTATTGTACTGATCTTATGTACAAAAGGAATTGGGCAACAGGCATAGCCTATATAAGCCCTCTCCTTACAAACATAACAGTATATACATATCATATAAATGTTACTTTTACAGGTATTTCTTTAAGTATTAAAATAAGAGATTATTTGTACTTTGAATTTGATTTGACAATACATATTTCAAATATCACAATTGTTTACAGAATTGAGTTTATCGAGGAGACAGCGACACTTCAGATTGCAGAAAGCGTGCCATCAGATGAGGGAGACTACTCCGTAAAGGCAGTTAACGACCGTGGTGCTGCCACCTGCAACGCCGAAGTCCTTGTGAACCTGGAGGCTCCAAAATTCACCAAACCCCTATCAAACGTTTCAGTTGACATTGATGACATTGCCACTCTCGAGTGTACAGTTATCGGTAAACCGACTCCGAAGGTCACCTGGTTAGCCAATCAAACAATAATCGAAGAAAGTGTCAAATATCACGCCAGTTTCCATGACAGCGTTGCGACCTTGGAGGTGACCTCTGTCACTGAGGAAGATGGTGACATTGTTTTCACGTGCAAGGCAGAGAATGTGGCCGGAGATACCAGCTGCAGTGCCCAACTGACCGTGCAAGGTATATTTGTATGATGAACACCTGTGTTGGAATGTTGTTGGAATGTTATTGTTGACCCTTGCATCCCTCCAGTTTTGTAATTGAACCAGCGTCCAATGAAGTTGGGTAAAGTCTAAGTGTTCTTAAGGGGCAGCAGGGTAGGTTTTCTCGCCACTCTGATAAATGTTCAAATGAAAGCGATAGATGTTGCCATCATCTCTTCCCCATGTGACAGTTTACACTGGGTACTTGTTAAAGTGAATTGTATTATACTGCCAGGCTTTATGTGAAAAAAGGGACGGATTTCTAGGCCAGTGTAACTTTGGGGAAATGCACAAAGAAGTTATATTTGATAAAGAGTTGATTTTAAGGTTGTCTTGGATGAATATGCACTTCAGGTTTGTGTTTGAAAGGGGGTTTCTAAGAGAGTTTTGATATATGAGTTATCTCCCTTGAGTGAACATTTTTATAAATGGATATAGTTGAGAGTACAGAAGACTTTTGAATTTTCATATAGATTTATATTTTCAAAGTATACATATCGTTTCTACTTAAATGTCGGATCAAAGATTTTCTTCAAATTTTACAAATTATTTTATTTATTATTATTTACCTACTGTACAGTATATTTCGTTTTTAAATGACACATTCCAATGTAAACTTGTAAAAACCTTACATTTTTGTCAAAAACAGATACTTAATTACCTTGTTGGACTATTCAATTGAACATATAAAACTCTTATTTAATTTTACTTCGTTAATCTTTTCTCTTTAGACAATAAACTTGCTATTCCTATGGAATAGAACAAACTTGAATCTCAATGCATCATTTTCAAAAGTGCTAGATTTTTTGATTCAATGAGAACATCTTCAGGATTAATGCTTGTGAAAGCATTAAGCATTATGATCTATTTTGAAACGAGAATGTAGTTAAAAATTGATAGAAAGTAGCTGAAGATAATTACGGTTTTAGTTATTCCATTTAATGATAGGTCATTTGGCATGATATTATAATTAAGACATTTTAAGTTGCTATGTTTGTCTGAAATTTATTTGTCCGCCATATTTGCATGGATTCATCGTTAAATAATTTGTCAGTTGAGTATGTAAGTACTTGTCAATTCAAAATGTTTTCTAATCAGGTAGAATTTTTTTCATGTTGACTAAAATGCATCCGATTTGTGTTACATGTAGTTAAAAATAAGCACGATCAAAGACTGTTTTTGTTAAAATTCGTTATTTTGTATGTCTTGCACATGTTTGTTGCATGGTTGTGAAATTTTTGCTAGACAACTGTCTAGTATATGTTACTGTACATTATAGATTTTTAGATAGATTTAAATCAAATATAGAATTAAATTCAATCCTAGAATCAAATTAGCTTTTCTGTTTTCCATTTCCAGTCCATATTTTTAAAATTTCATTTATAGGCATTAAAGTGTTAGAATAGGACGGTAGCATAATTGTAGAAAGTGATTTGTACAGAATTTAAAAAATTTGATATCAAAATATTTTTGTAAATATTTATGGTTTATTTACTATTTACTTAACAACATTTATTATTAATTATGTATACAGAAATCAGTGTCAAATGTTTAGAATTCATTACACATTGAACACATTCCATTATGCTTATCTGTTATCACATAAATCATTGTCAGATATTAATTTTAGGGACATTTTATTTTAGAAATTTTAATTTTAAGTCTTTTGTAAATATTTTTTTCCTCTTTCTTTTTTTAAGCCAACATTATAACAATAATTGACATCATAAATGATGTGTAAACTTTTTATCGATACAAATATTTTTTTTAAGCAATAAAATTGGCATAATTTCTCATGTATTTCATTTGTGATATTAATATGCAAATCATTCAAAAGTTTTTCAGTTTTTAATCTATTCAAACACAACGTCCGAAAAAATAAGATCACAGATTTAATTTGAATAATACTCTTTCATTATATAGTTACAATGCATCAGAATATTCTTCAGATTTGCTACATGTACAAATGAAACTTTTAAATATAATAACCTATATTTTGTAATATATCTCCGATTTCCATTTCAAACTGTTAATATATATCATATATCTATTATTTTCCTCACACGTTCATAACCTCACATTATCGTATATAATTCCATTTCATTTCATCTGATACTGTCTATTAACCATGTATAACTAGCTAGAAATGAATCTCTTTAAGCAAAATTGTATAAATTCTTTCCATAATATGTCAAATTGTCATATTTATATTATTTTTGCCAGAATAAACATTCCTTTTCTGAAAACTTTCGCATGTGTGTTATATATATATAATTTTACACATACTGCAAGCTCTTACCTTTCTTACGCATAGCAAAAAATAACAATTTAAAAACTTTAGAATTTTAACTTTATTCTGTTTTTCTTTTTATTTCATAAAAAAAAAACAATTTCTGATTAACTTTTTTGAAAAAAAAATTTAATTTCATACTTCTTTATTTCAATTGCTAGATTGCAATTTGATTTTCAGACTTTTTACAATTTCTCTGCGTTTAACTGTTGAGCTTGTAGTCTGATTTCCGTGTGCATGGCGGTGGGGATGAGGCTTTGTGCGTTGGTCCTCCCCCCAGCTAACCATGTCCTCCCATCCCGACCAATGGACGTCTGTTTAAGGAGTGAGGGAGGACAGAAACAACGCAGTTGTGCATTCTTGATGCTTTGTGTTCTTCTGCGTCAAAATACACAACTCAAGTCAGACCCTTTATACTTCTGGCCAATCTGAATATCCTAATACAGTTGGGAATATTGATGAACATTTAATAAACTGTTTTAACCTCAATATATTGGGATATAAAAACAAAACTGTTGCATTTGATTGAAAATCTTGATACAAAAACAGTGAAAATTTTGAGTAGCAATTTAACTCATTCACCCCTGATATTTCATAAGGAACTATTTCAACCTTTGAATTGGAAGAGTTCAAATGTGTTTTTTTTCAGGGGTGAATGTGCTTAAAAGATATGTAAAGATCTAGTGTTGTGTTTGACTTGAGTTGTGATTCTGTTCTGAAGTAAACACTTCTTTTTCTAACCTTGCAGACCCCTTTGTTTAAAGTACTTCTCTTCAATAGCCTTCATTTTCATTTGCACATCATCATCAATGCACAGCTAGCAGATATCTAAATTCTGTTAAAGGGAGATAACTACTGACATAGGTAATTGTGGAAGGAATAATGAGAATTAAAATTATTTGAGTTATCTCCCTTGAACAGAATTTTTGACCATGCTTAGTAGATTTAACAAAATGGTAGTCAAGTTGCACTGCTCTTGTCCACGGAGACCTGTTACCATGAAAAATGCCAAGTACTCAAGTGTCCTGGAAGCAAATCAAAATCAGTCAATGATTCAATTCATTCTAACTGACCTTTAACCTGATTCCTTTATGTGACCTTTTGACCTAATTTAACTGACTTATTCAACCTCCATACTAATACACTGAGAGTAAGATTCAAATGTATTTAGCAACATACACCAGAAGAAATTTCTTGTGAACAATAAAGGAATGAAATAGGTTTGAGTGCATGTATAAAACATTCTACATTTATCATGAACAGGAGAAATCATATGACGGCCATATAAAAAATTCATAAGAGACAAACGCTGTTATGACTCGAATATTTTAAGCATGTGAATGATGAATGATTGTTCTACAAACAAAAGAATTTGTCCTGGATGACTGAAACCTGCATTTTGATGTCAAACATTTACAGGGGTCAGGGGTTAATCTAGAGACTACAATTCAGAGGTCAATGGTCATACTGGAAAGGAAGACAAAGATTTGTGTGTCTGTCTACAGTAAAACAAAAGATGTGTTCCTTAATAATTAAAACGATACGAAATTTTGATAGAATTCCCTATATAATTGTCTGTAAAACACACAATGTATATTACCAATACAAAAAGATGTTACAAGACAAAGTCTTTTGAATCTATTAAACATTCATGTACCATATTTGACCATATAAAACCCCATCCCTGAGAAGCACTCCTTTTTTCCCTTTTGATGTTTCCACTCCTTTCCCCAAAATTTACAAACTTACTTTGAAGACAGGATATTGTTATTGCCAACAGTTGTAAGACTCTTAGAAAATTCTGTGTTCCAAAGTTTCTAAGTGCACAGAGTACGTTATATACCAGAAAAAAATAAGCATCATATGCCAAAAATATCAAATTTCCATTCAACTACCTATTTTGATTGGACATCTAAATTATGTTAGTAATTTTGATAAATCTCCATGAAGACCTATAAAAATATCAGATATATAAAAGTGTAAAATATCAATACCTTTCAAACAATTGTTAATTACTTATTTTAAAAAAACTAATGTTATAATAGCTATTTCATTTATCCTTAAAGCTGTTCTGCAATATTTACCAGGAAATATTGACATCAAATTTCACAAGCCAGTAATTATCCTTATATGCTTCAACCAATTGGAAAATTGATTTAAAAATATCCACAATAGCCCTGTCAATTATGCTATCATATACACACAATGCATGCATTCATACATCTGCAGGTGAGAAGATTTTTTTCCCACTTAATGATTTACACAGAGCACACAGTATGATACCTGTCAGACTTTCACCTGTATAACATACCTTTCAGGTGTGTAACGAGCTTAGGGGACAAGTCATGTGATCAATGATTGACTTTAGTCAACACTTGTGATAGGGAAATCATCAGCTCTTACCTGTATTACACACCTGAGGGCCTTACACATAATCGCATATTATCGTCATGGTTTCCGATTTCTCCTTATCCAGTATTAATGTCCAGCAGGTATTTGACGAGGCTCCACATGAGAGAGCCACATACACACTCGCATAGCTTAATCATCACTTCTCTCTTTGTACCTTTAGTATCTACCTTGACAGTCAGGGGAGGGTCAGATTACCCGAGTTTGTTGATAAACTGATAAATAATATAAACTTGTTGACAACATTATTTTAATACAGGTAGCTAGAATATTTTTCC